AAAAAAAAAAAAAAAAAAACTAAAGATACAGACATTCTAGTAGGAATTTGTAGGACAGAGTATAGGAAACGGGGTGCCTGTCATTGAATGTTCCCTATCTCCTTATCTAATGACAATGTCAAAGACCTGTGTATTTTCGTTTTAGTCTTGGCAATACGCTGTATAATTATCATCACACTTGAACTGCTCTCCTTTCCACTCCCCAGTGAATAGTGGGAACCTATTTTTTTTTTTTTTTCCTATAGTATCTCCTCTATCCCTCCAATTATAAAACCCTGGTCAAACTCTCTGAACTTCAGCCAGTTGTTTGAACAAGTCAGTTTCTCAGAGAGGCAAAGGAACACATGAATACCATTACCTGTGTGCATGTAACAAGAACACTCTACAGAGTAGGATTTTGAACACAACCTCAGGTATAAGATTAGTAACTTTAGATGAACGCTGATTAATGATATTTAGGAGAGATTTTATATAAATATGCACACATATGAAAGGTGTGCCCAATTGATTTGAGAAATATTTTTATCATAAAAATCCAAACAGATATTTATACCATCTGCTTTGTATGTGAAATGCTTCAAAGGATGCAAATGTATTGAATGGTTGCACAGGCTTTTGATGCAACTTACAGTGTAAAAGCAAAGACAAAGACAGTCTGTATAGACTAAAAAAATGATAATCAATATTAAGTATCCATTACCTTTTTGGTGCTGAGAACAATATACCCAGTCTCAATCTCATCAATTGTAAAATTTAGTTCTCAAGGCACTCTTATACTTATTTTTTTTTTAATTTCATCCTCACACCAGCTCTATGAGGTATTATTCCTATCTCATAGGTAATAGAAATATGGCTTAGCATATATTCAGTGTCTGAACAGGTGGCACAGCCAGGTCACAAGTGGCATAAATTCTCAGTTTCACTTTGTTCTTACACCACAGTTTCATTCACTATGAAGGTCAGGCTTTGTAAAGGATTTTCTGTAACTCCAGTTTTAAGAACAAGACCATTTCTATTCAGGATTTTTCTTTTCCAGTGTGGATATCAAAGGTGTGTGGACCTGATTATGTAAGCTTATGTGCCACATGAAGTGGAATTTAATAGCGTGCAGTTACTCCCCTGCTTACGTTCCAAAAGTTCATTTGAAAGTCAATTTCTTGAATCTCAGAACCTCTTTTCCTCATTGAAACTACATTATGCATGATTTCCAGGCCAACCACAAAGGACTTGTTTTAGTACATCACATGCATTGCATAGTAGTATTACTTGAGATACACTTAAACAATATTCATTTTGGTTTTGTGGGAAATTTTCACCTTGAGATGTTATAAATTCATTCTCCCTATCCATGCAGGTGGATATAGGAAGATAAATTTTACATTTACCTAAAGGGAGTCATATCTTTGTAGCAGTAAATTTACAGCTCGTATCTCCATTCCTTCTCCCAGTTCTTTGCCTGAGGGCACCCCTTCTTTACAGGTCCTTTTATCAGCATATGGTAGAACATTTGAAAGCCTCTCTGCTCTGATGTAGGGAACAAAGGCTAACTGCAACACCAAACTCCAGAATCTGACCTCTTCCTGTTAATAACGTAATATAGAAGTCATTCTTGGGCTCCCATTTGGAACATTCTGTGTTATCTTCTGATTTTTTTTTTCTTAAATAAATGGTCAAAGAATTTTTTGTTATTCTTTTCACATTTTCAGTATTCTGGAGATCTATTTTTTACATTGAAAAATTATAATTTAGGGTATTTATTTCAATAATCTTGGCCCTTCACCATGGCATGTGAAGGCCGGAGAGAAAATTATGAATGATGGTTTTTCTTAGACCAAAGTATAAGGTGGAGGTTCTATTAATTGACTCCATGGTAAGAGTTAATTAAAGGCAGGGTTTTATATAAATATTATGCATTTAGGGGCGCCTGGGTGGCTCAGTCGGTTGAGCATTTGACTTTAGCTCAGGTCATGATCTCACCATTTGTGGGTTTGAGCCCTGCATCGGGCTCTGTGCTGACAGCTCAGAGCCTGGAGCCTGCTTCAGATTCTGTGTCTCCCCACCTCTCTCTGCTTCTCCCCCTGTTCATGCTCTCTCTCTGTCTCAAAAATAAATAAAATTTTAAAAATATATTTTAATATTATGCATTTATATGAATAGTATGCATTTTTCTGGAGAGGGATCTCTACCTTTTGTCAGATTTGCAAAGGGATTGTAACCTCGAAAAAATTAAGAAATATCCAGGTAAGGATTATTATTACCTATAAACTGTTGAATCATTATGTCATTGAGGAACCTTATCCCTAGGAAGCTATCAGCATTGGTTCCTGAAAATTCGAGTCCCAACTTTTATTTTCCAAAGCCCTACACCAAAAATCATCTGGAAAAAGCAGACCTCCTGTTAGGTGATCCTATGGTGTTTGGCCCAAGCCAATTAGTGAATCATTTAAAGTTTCAAAAAGAATGTTAACTTATTTGAAAGAGGCCTGGAAGCATCATTATTTTTAACATGCCCATCTAATAAGCTTTGTGATTTTATTTTAAATGTGGTTAAAGGACCGTTAAAGAAGGGAAACCTTAAGGCTAACAGTAAACCACACTCTCCCATGGCATTCCTCATCATCACCTCTGCAAAGATAAGATGCATTACTTGGCCGCTTACTTCTGCTGCTGGCAACAAACGGGAGATCTTGACCAGCTGTTCTTCAACTCAATTAAAAAGAGAGCAATAGGAGAAAAAAAATGGACTTGATCATCAGCTTGAAAGATAGTTGTATGATACCTTCCAAGTATTGAGCTCATAAATATGTACGAGGTACCGTGCACATTGCTTTTTTACATGAATTACCATGTTTAGTCGTCACAGTAATAATCCAGTTGTTAATTCCATTTTGCAGATAGTAAGGCTGAGCTACCAACCTCACACCTAATTAATGATAGTTGCCTGATTCCATAGCCCACTATAGTCAAGGTCAGAAGTCTTAATTTTCTGACAGTGCAAACTTACGGAGAATAAGTTGCCAGAGAGCTTTGTAGAAGTTTCTTCTTTGAAGGCCAGACAGTAATAGCTGGATCTAAATTCAACTAGCAACTTGCCTCAGTAAGAGAGAAAAGTGGGATAAGATGACCTCACAGAGTTCACTTTGCCATAGTTCTTTCTGCCCTTGAAAGGAGAGGCTACTTTTACAGGGAAAGTGTCCTAAGGAGTTTGAGAGTAGAAAACCTGGCTGTTGCAACTGGGACAAAAGAAAACTGTGATGTCAGAGTAGAAGAAAGGTTTCTTGTGGTTATCAACTTATTTTTAAATGCCGTTCTAGAAAAGCAATCCCTCCTTGTGTGGGAGGAGCAAAAGGAGGACACATTTTGTTTCCCACTGGAAGAATGATGTGAAACAGCTCATCTGTGTAAAATTGGCCTTGGCAGTGCTGCCAGGGCCAATGAGGCCTTAAGGAATCTGCTGAGCAACTGCTGGTCGTGAAGCGGTTGGCCTGAGAGCTGGGGTGTGTTTTGCACCCTGAAGCTTTCTTCATTCCAGCATGGCAAAACCATGTAAAGAAGGCTGTAACTTTCTCTTAACATGTCAGTTACTTCTTCCTCTTTCTCTTCTTCACTCCAGATCTTGTCTGGAGTATTTCAGGAGGAGGCCGCAGGCCTTGTATCCTTGAACTTCCCTGAGGCAGTTGGGACAGGGCCACCAATGGCGGCACACAAACATGAATCACTTATTGTCTCTTAATTGCATGTTCGGTCTTTTTTCTCATACCTATCCATAGCACTGCCAGGCATTGTTTGGACTCTTGAGGGATACTGAGGGTTAATATTACTGACCTATGTTGCTGAACTTGTCTTTTGTCTTTTCTTAATCCTTCCTTATGACATAAGAAGACAGATTATTCCTGCCCCCATCCCCCCAAAAAAGCATATTTTGCTGGTAGGACATGACCATAGGAGTAGTTTCCTCAATTTGATGGAATTAATGGATATTTTTCTGCTTCAAGTGAAAATTGTCATGTTGAATAAATGGAGCCCATTCCTCTTTCAAAGAGAGTGTGTTCCTTTCCCAACTTGGGTCTTTCTGGGGTATTCTCAGTCCTTTCTTCTCCAAGTTTGATTTGCCGCCATTGGAAATGGTGCACAACACGTGTCCTCTACCCAGAATGCTTCGTACCGTGCCCTCATTGTATCTTCAGCCAGGCTCTCCCGTCTTCATCAACTCTCATTGCTCATCCTTGGGGCATAAATCCTCTCTTACCCTGTGTCACTGAGTTCCTTGACTGCTTTGACTTTCTCCCGTTTGTTGCTGTGATTTCTGAACTGCATGTATCTGATTTGCCTTTTCCATGCCTCTGCCATGGCTGTAGGATTTCTTTGTGAACAGTAACTCCAAGCAGGTAAGTGAGCAACTACCCAAACCTTGCTTAGTATAACTTCTTGGCTCACTGTAAGCTCAGAATGTCTTGGCCATCCTTTTTTTTTTTTTTCCCCTCCAGATAGTGTAATGCAATGCTTAGGTAATTCCACACTGGGTTTCAACTCTTAACTGATAATTAGCGGTGTGCTTGAAATCTCAGTATGACAGGAGACCGTTGAAGTTTGATCACCCAGTGCCTCTTACTATAAGCTCCATATTGTCTTTGTTTTTTCCCAAACTGTTAGTTCCAGAACTCTTTGCTTTCCTTACATATTTAAAATGCCATGATCCATGTTTAAAATTGATCCTGACCTCTAATAAAATCAAACTTGCTATTTACGAAGTTAGTCTGTATTTTCACCTTGATGCCCAGTTTACTCAAACAGTATTTTATATAGAATATTTTTGTGCCTCTTCCACCATAAATTATGACTGGCCATCATTGCTTACAGCTTTTTGTACAGCGGCAGAGTCTGGAAGTAGTGTTTTGTTGTTAATTCAAGTAATTGAACTAATGCCTTGAATTGCCCCCTCTCTGTTATCCATCAGGCTCCAGGGTAATGAAAGGTACCATCTGGGCTTGGGACCTTTCTGTTGCACATGAGGATGTTTGGGAGGATTTATTGTTTGGCTTTTTGAGTGCTCACGATGCAAATGGCTCCGGAGTGAATGGGCCCTGCAAATGGCCAGACTAGCAATGGCAAGCCTCAGCCGAGCTTGATTCATAGTGACAGTTCTTCTGTCTGCTATCCATAGGGATTTGGGGGACAAAAGGAGGGCACCACTCATTGATAATTTATGCACGCTTAGCATCTTCAACTTAGATGCACTTTGTTCTTCCAAAAATGCTTTTTCAAATGTGGGTGGTCAGCGTTTCTTATTATTTCCCTTTGTCAACTAGATTTTAGCCCTTCGTTTCAATTCTGCCACCTCCTTACACTCCCTCCCTCACCATCTCAGCTTTGCCTGTGTGTGTGTGTGTGTGTGTGTGTGTGTGTGTGTGTGTGTGTGTGTGTAAACAGAAAATATAAAGGAAAAGTGTGTGTCTGAAGTCAGAATGTCCCTGTTTGACTTTGATGGATTTCTTTCATGCTCTTTATAGAAAGAAGCAGATGCCATTGATGACACTCTGAGTTCCAAACTTAAAGTCAAAGAACTTTCGGTGATTGATGGTCGGAGAGCTCAGAATTGCAACATCCTTCTATCGAGGTATTGTTGAAGTTGAATAAACATTTTTGGTAGGACCAACTTTTCTCTCTGGTGGCTCCAAACCATGTTTTTGTGCTTGTTCTTATAATCGGACTCTGCCGAGATTCAGTTCTTTGGATTCTCTTCCGTCTGAGGTGAGGAGAATTCGTGGTGCTTACTTTCCCTGAGCAGAATGTATCAGAGCTGGTTGCCTACTTTCTTAGTTTAATTTCCACAGACTTCTAAAGTTGAAGAGTGGAACGTTCCAAATCAATGTTTTCTTTTGTTTTGTTTTCCCAGAGAGCCTGTAAAATGGATTTTACCTTTATGTATATTTCCTGGCTTTAGAGGTATTTTGTGGGGGTTTTTTTTTGCTATTTATTATTATTTTTTTATTATATGAAATTTATTGTCAAATTAGTTTCCATACAACACCCAGTGCTCACCCCAAAGGATGCCCTCTTCAATGCCCATCACCTACCCTCCCCTCCCTCCCACCCCCCATCAACCCTCAGTTTGTTTTCAGTTTTTAAGAGGTATTTTGATTAAGTAACATTGCCACAGAATCAGCAGCAACCATGAAAGCTCTGTTTTATTTTGCTTTTCGAAGTCACCTTTTTATACTTAGAGTTTATGTGATTTCATGCTCTTTTTGAGACATTTTTATGACTAAACAGATATGTAAATCCCAAGCCCCAGTGAAATGCTAATTTACCCATTTCAGCCCTGTTCAGAAATCTTTCTCATAATTAGTGAACCATCACGGCCTTGGAACTTGAAAAGAAGAAAGGAAATTTGGGAGGCTGAAATCTGCTTATAGCTTCAGGCACTGTGTCTGTCATCCCGGGCATTTCAAGTAGCTTTTCTGTATCTAATTTCTTCTTTTCTCTAAAAGGAACTTTTATGTCACGCAAAGATACCTAATGCTTTTGAGGTGAACGAAGATCTAAAGAATCCTGGGTTGGGGGGCATTAAGTATAAGTCCCATTGGTCACGTTCTGGAAAGAATGTCGTGTATGTGTTAAAGCTGGCGTGAGGTGGCTGCTCTTTCAGGGAGCGCAGGGAGGGAGAGTAGCAGTCTTTATTTTTCAGATGATCTTACAGTGAGTTTCTTTTAACACAAAGTGCTGCTGCTTGGTTTACAGCACGGAGCTTGATTATTAGCCAGATATATATTACTTTAGGGAGCAAATGTTTTCTTTTGGTGAAAGAGAAACTGAAGCTTAGTGAGATCCCTGAATTTTAATACAACCAGGAAGGTAACATGAACCCTCCTGTTAGCATTTCATTTCTGCCTCTGGCTGGAAGCTGTGTAAATGTCCAGGCCCTGTACTTAGCCCCCCTTTTTCTCCCTGAACACATGCTGATGAAGATACCAACGAAATAATCTGAAGGTCTACTTATTTCTCTTCTACAGTATCTATAATCTGTTTTGTTACAACTTCTTTTTATAAATAACATTCTTAATAGTGAAGTTAAATGAAAATTTGGGGAAAGGTTTTTTTTGTTTGTTTTTTTCCTAAAGCCTGGAATTTCTGCCTATATCTTGTGCTTTTGCAGTCTGGAGGAACACTTTTTAAACAACTTGACAAAGGGAGCTATCACTGAATTCCTATAGTATTTAAGTGCTTGTAGGAGCAAAATCTATGACCTAGTTCTTCAGAGACAGATTATTCTCAGTACGAGATGTCAACGAGGGTCATAACACTAACACTAGCTATAGATAAGGTTCCAGTTCTTTCTGGCGAACTTCCCATCCCATTATTGAAGGAATTATTTTGTATTTGTGGTATATAATTCCCTTGTTACCTTAAAAGTGTCAGAGCCTAAGGTGACTTAGAACTTGAGCGTATCTAAACTCTCTCTGGAAGATAATTTTAAGAAATTGCCTTGTATCTGTTAAATTATCTATTAAAATCCAATTTAATGAATAAGTGTCATTATAACGAGCATAATTAAAAAGCATATTATACGTAACAAGGTAATTTTGAGTCCCAGTTGACCTTATGGTAATTAGACGTTATGGATCAGGTTCTAAAATGTTCTTTCCCACAGAGGATTCAGCCCCACATGCTTTTCTTTTCCGTGATCAATAGTTTTACTCTTGCCAGGAAAGCAGAGGACCGACCTGTAATGTGCTGTGTGGCAAAGGTAACAGAAATAAAGCAGATTGAGTTCTAATTTGGGTTGTATCTAGCTGTTTAACCAGTCAGTAGTTCACCGTGTTTTCATTCTCCCGTTTTCGCTGGCAACGCCTTACCACACGTGAAAGGAGCTAGGGGCGGAAAGGAAGGAAGAGATCTTAGAGTTACCACTTTGGAGCACTGACTTGCCTGGCACTACGTGGGGTGCCATAGAATGCACCACGACTTTAGGTAGCACTGCTGCCTTTGAAAGCTCGTGGCTATTTGGAGAAGAAAAACACCACCAGCAAGATGACTTGTGAACAGCTCAGGCCCGGACTGATCCAACCGGAAGGAGCCAGGAGCTGAGCCGAGTGAGGACACCGACGGGGCTCAGAAGAGAAAGTGGGTCTCAAAGGGTGATAGCAATTACATGGCATGGGGTCGAGAGGCAGTTCCAAGGAGGCGCACAGCAGAAGCCAAGGCACTGGGGGTGGAGGGGTGGGAGAGGTGCAGGGGGTCGATGCACAACTAATACAGAGAGCCCTGCAATTGTAGCAGTCATCAGTCATAACAAATGGGACTGGGCAAGAGAGCCTGTGATCCATGCCGCGTGCCTTCGTTAAGGGTACCAGTCAGCCCAAGCTCCAGCCGCACCCTCCTCGTCTATAAAATGGAGATCGTGAAAGCAGTGGCCTTGCAGTAGGCCCTCTCGATGTGAGAGAGCTAGACCCAGCGCATGTGCAGTAGCAGCAGAGAACCTGCATGGAGTAGTTGCTCGTTTAGTGGCCTGTTAACGTGCCTGTGGGATCGGGAATTGGTGCAAATTGTTCAGGACGACACTTTGTTTTAAGAAGGTTTGAAGTTTGCCCTCTGCGGTTGGCAGGACAGGTTGGAAAGGGTGGCGACCTGGAGGCCACAGCGGCCGGCCACTAGATGGGTTCTCCCTTATGGCCAGGTGCGACCCCGCGAGAGAATTGAGAGACCGCCCTCAGCAGTACTTGGAGACGGTTTTGTGCACGTGGACGATGAACAGGAATGTTTCCAAGTTGATGTCAAGATTTCCTGCCTTTCCACACTTACTTTCTCCTTTTCTGCTGATTTCGTTCCCCAAGACTGGTGACCCTCTCCATTTCTTACCTTGCTGACAAGAAGTTTAATCCCCAGCAACACAGTCATCACACCAGATTCCACCTTGAGATAAGCCTGTGACGGATTCCATGGGGGATGTTTCATAAGCACATATGTCCGCAGCGCTTGGTTATCCTTAAACGCTCTTCCTTACTCCCACACCGCAGAAGTTAGCAGACCCTTTGGTCAGGCACCTGCCACAGCCCTGCCTGGAGTGAAGTCAGTCGGGAGGAAGGCCCTCCCTGCCCCACAGGCTGAACAGGGAAGGGAAGTGAGGGCCCTTCACACCGGGCTTGCAGCCTCAGTGGCCAGGGTCACTTGCAGCTCCCGGAGGGGAGGCTGCCTGGAAAGTGTGAGTTTGAAGCAGAAGCTCCAGGCCACGAGGGACCCCGCCTTCCCAGACTGGAGAAGAGAGTGTCGGAATGGACAGGACATTCCTTAAACTAAGAACGCTCACTTCAGGCCGGGGCAGGGTGAGCAACAACCTACTGGGTATCTATAGGTGACATGTGGCAATTTAAAATTCGCCCTGCTTTATTCCCTGACACAGACTTCTCCCTTCCGAAATAAAGAAAGAAACTTGGAAGCTGGTTTATATTGCCAAATGAACCCACCTAAAATACACTTTTATGAAGTGTTCTGCCATTCTTTTTTTTCCAGATGCTCGCTTAACATGGCAGCCCGGGGTGCAGTAAAGCACAAAAAGCTACTTTAAAGTAGGGGGATTTGGCTTAAATCCACTGAAGCAGAGCTAAGGCTGATCTCGCCACCCATCCCTAACTTATTTTAATTACGCCTGGATGTTCCAATTCTCTTGGCAAATTTTTGAAATACTTGAGTGCAGCGAGGTAGACTTAACTACTGTTTTAAAATGGCCGATTTGTTTCCTGCCTTGTAAGGAAAGTTGAAGTGGATGTCTCAAACGTTGCCACCCTCCAGCACACCAGAACACTGCCAAGCTTTAAAAAGCAATTAAAACGTTAGGATTGGTAGGGTCCTTAAATTACAGAGATTAGCGACTCATTCTGTGGATGACAGATGATACTAAGAACTCGGGCAACCTACAGAACCATCCCAGAGGGCGGAGTACCCTTCTCCCCTTTCCCCAAGGGTACAGTTTCTTTGTCTGCTCCAACAGGCCACGTGCAAGGCAGTATGTTGACAGGTAGATTTTCTTAAGCACTATCCATTAAAGTCTCAAGTCTCTTTGTGGGACACATAAAGAGAAACCAAAATTGTTATGAATTAGAGCTAGTGTTTAGTCCAGACAGCCTCTGGGGGTTGAGAAGCATAAATATATACAATTTCAAAAGCAAGGAGTTCTGCACTCCATATGGGGAGCTAATGAAATGCAAATCTGATACTTCAAGTATTGTTCTCACTCTGATTTTCAACTCCTTTTCTTTTAAATGTAAAACAGAAGGACTCAGCAGAACCACACCATAAAGTAGTTTCTTCAGCTCAGTGTGAAAAGGACACAGAACTAATTTATTTTTTTCTTATAAGTGGAGCTTTTCTCATGACGCCTATAGATGTTTCCACGGCCGGTTGGTTTTCATTAGTGGCAGTTTCAACCTTCCTTAGCATTCCTCTTCCTTGGCCTTGCATGGCTGGACTGTGGTGTTCGCTCTTAACCAACTCATGAGCCTTTAGTGTTCTGGAACTGAGGGCTACCCAGAGCCTGTACGGTGATGCCAGCATTATGGTTTTTACCCTATCATGTGTTTTACCCATGCCAACTTAGCTAGATTGTTCCAGTTAAAGTTTGAGGGTTTTCCATCACGATGTCCTGGTGAAAATGTTTGTGGGGCAATGATTGTCCCAAGAATGACTAAAACAATCTAAAGAAGTCTGCCCAGGTCTAGGGAATTATGATGGCACCCTACCTCAGACTAGGCGATAGAGTGGATCTCATTTTAGAACATGGGCAATTTTCTCCCGTTGCCTACATGCTATATTTGGATTTGAAAGCTTGAGATGAAAGAGAATGGTACTACTGGGGCACCTGAGTGGCTCAGTCGTTTAAGCTTCTGACTTCAGCTCAGGTCATTATTTCATAGTTTGTGAGTTTGAGCCCCACATTGGGTGCTACCAGCAGAGAGCCTTCTTCGATCCTCTATCCCTCTTTCTCTGCCCCTCCCCCCCTCAAAACAAACAAACAAACCAAACACAGTACTAGTACAATAGGATTGACAAATTTGTTCCTTCCCTTTCCTACTTATCGGCACACGAAACAATATTCAGCATAAAGAGCAGGATAGGTGGTTTTAATGAGATCATGTCAAAATCTAGAGAAAAGGACAAGCCGAGTTGTCCAAAGTGGGGTGTGTGTTGTCCAGCTCTACCCCCAGGGTTCTTTCCTCCTTCTGTGGCCTTTGTGTCCCGCCCCCTTCCCCACACTCATGCTGCCCCCTCGTTTATCTGTGAGAGCGGCAGTAGCCATGTGTGCTTTCATACCCATGTGTCTTGAGTGTTTCACTTACCATTTGATTCTCCCAAATGTTACAGCCACCTTTAAAGTAAGAACCCTATCTTCTAATTCTTGTTTAACATTTCCGGGCCTAATGGATGTTGTGTACAGAGAGGAAACTCCAGTGAAATAATGGCTGTGGGAGTGCTTGGGGAAGTGTTGGTAATAGCCCTGCTAAGCGCTGTGTGAGAATGTATAGGTTACAGAAGTACTGCTGCTTTTTTGTCCCCAGTGTAGAAAAGTCTGTTGGAAAGTGAGACACCTAGTTTATGAGCTTTATCTATGGACAGGCAGTGCGTAGTGCTTTACATGCATTATTTCACTCCATAGATGAGAAAACTTAAGACTTTTTTTTTCTGAGTTATTTATTTATTTTGAGAGAGAGAGAGAGAGAGAGAGAGAGAGAAAGGGCATGAGTAGTGGAGGGGCAAAGAGAGAGAATCCCAAGCAGGCTCTGCACTGTCAGTGCAGAGCCCGATGCAGGGCTCGAACCCACGAACCGTGAGATCATGACCTGAGCCAAAACCAAGAGTAGGACACTTAACCAACTGAGCCACCCAGGCACCCTGAGAAAACTAAGGCTTAAGGAGAACTTGACCCGAGGTCACACTGGCCAGGAAGCGTCACACGGGACTGAGGCCCAGTCTGATGCCAAAGCTCCCACCTTCAAATATTCCGTGTGAAGGCTTTATGTCTTGCTCTGTATTTGTGTGTTTATGTCTTCATCTCCAGGCCAAAATGTGATTTTTCTTGAAGATCGTAGACTAGAGGAACAGACAAATAACGTTAATATGCCACTTTAATAGTAGCTTAATAAAGAAGTAAGATATTTTTAAGTAAGTCTGGATCTAATGCTTACAAATAGAACAAAAGAATGACTCTATTTTTCTAGCTAATAATCTGGTTAAGATCCCCCCCCCCAGTTTAGACTATTGATTGTGTCTAATAAAAACACATTTTTACAAGTACATTTTAACTTCATGACTTTCTTCGTAGTCAACACTTGTTGTCCTGACATAATCAAGCCATAAGTCCTTAAATTAGTTAATCATATAAATTTATGGTAAACAGAAAACATATTTGTGGTTTTGCTTAAATTCTTCCCTATTAGATATTAACTAGATAAACAGATTTGTAAAAGGAATTTGGGATTGGGAATCAGGAGTTTCAAGTTTGTGTTAGGTACTGCCACTTTCCATATGTTTGACCTTGGGCAAATCAGCCATTCCGAGCCTCAGTTTGTCCCTCCGTTAAAAAAAAAATCGTAGTTATTTTAAACCTCCAATGAAACATTATATGTGAAAACTCCTCAACCATGAAGTGCCTTACACATTCTATTCCATGTATTAACTATTCAACTTTTTGACAGTAACAGATTCCAACCTTTTTTTAAATCCATTTTTAATGTGAAAGCAGACTTTGAACATTCCTGATGAGTAGTCAAGAATTCAGTTTTCCTCTTCCGTCTAGAATTCATGGATGCTGTATATTAAAGAGATAAGTTGGATCTAGGTGTTTTCCCTATTTCTCATCCTCCGATCCCTTACATAAGGAAACTAAACAATAGAACATAACAGCTCTGTTCTCTTTGTCAGCAGAGCATTACAAAGTCCTGAAAGAATGTTAAAGCAGTTTCAAAATACTATTTTTAGGTGCAATATTGTCAGGAAATAAGCTTTCACTAAGAGATTTTGAGAAGAACGGTTCTTGAAAGTCAGCAGCTGGAGTAGCAAAATGAATGATCTTGCATTAAATTTTAATACCCGTGCCAATATTGTTAACAACAAAATAAAATACTCTTTCTCCAGGTTGAAATTGTCCAATGATGAAATCAAACGGGCAATTCTAACAATGGACGAGCAGGAAGATCTGCCCAAGGACATGTTGGAACAGGTGAGCTGCCAGACATATTTCAGAGCGTAAGCGACGACTGGCTTTCAGCAGGGAGTGGGATACCGAGAAAATCTGGTTGCCGCTGGTGGACAGTTTCCTCATCTCTGAACCAACGTTGAATGTGGCTCTCTTAGGAGATTTTATTCTCCCATTGCCCCTCAAAATGATGGGTGAGAAGGAAGGTCATGAGTTTGTCAAATGCCTGAGACCCACAATGCCAGATTCTGTCCCTCATGCTGCAAGTAAGGTATTATGCCTTCAGAGGTCATGCAAATCTACTAGCTTTTGGGAAGTGTTTGACAGGAGTACGGAGAATCTCACTCGCATTATGAGGTCACAGACTGCTACGTAAACTGATTCATTATGGAATCCTTGATACAGTTTGTGTCTTGGCCTTGACTCGCCATTCCTACACCACAGGAGCTACCGTTACACCCCCAGCTCTGTCACCTGCATCGAAATCAGTAGTGTTAGCCGTGGCTGGGCAAGCTGAATGTGGTGACTTCACGCTTTCCGTGCAGCCTTTCTATAACATGCTCTGCAGCCATTCCAACTCGGTTACGTGTTTCTCTGCAGCTTTCTTCAGTTGTTACCCAAATGACATTGTTGTGGAACTAGCACATGCTTCCGGGGTTATTACCTGCTTCTTGGTCTGGACCTGAATTTTTCTGTGCTTTGTGGAGATAGCCTCCATGCTCTGAGAATGTTCTGTCTGCTTGTCTCATTGTCCGTAGGACATAATCCTATTTTGAGTGATTTCGCTCAAGAGGTCCACGTCCCTTAGTGCCAGGTCCTCCAAAAGTTAACTGTGGATGCCGGTGATGGTGATGCCAGGCTGGACTGGGTGTCTCATCCGTAGGCAGACTCGGCTCCCAGAAGCAGAGGAAAAGTCTGTTTGGCATTACTAACAGTGATCTTGGGTGGCATGGCCGCTCCGGGTGGAGTGCCTGTCTGCTTGTGCATTTTCTGTCGTGTTCTCACTGGTGTCCTAAAAGGCCTCAGACGCAGAGCAGGGAGTGATGGCTGAAGGGTCACCACACCTCCGTGCACCAGCCCCACCTGAAACCTGCAACTGGAATTGTCCTGGGGAAGGCCTCACACTTGGCAGTGGAATAACTTTTCGTGCTGTCCTTTGTAATTTTGTTTTTTTTTTTTTTACATTTATTTCTTTTTGAGAGACAGAGCGTGAGCGGGGGAGGGGCAGAGAGAGAGGGAGACACAGAATCCGAAGCAGGCTCTAGGCTGTCAGCACAGAGCTTGATGCGGAGCTTGAACCCACGGACCATGAGATCATGACCTGAGCTAAAGTCGGACGCTTAACTGACTGAGCCACCCAGGTGCCCCCATGCTGTCCTTTTTGAGGTTTGACTTAGTTATCAATACTTAATAACTATATACCGAGCCTATTGGGATACTTTGTGTACAAATAGTTTAAAGGTGATTCCTAAACCAAAAATTAATTTTTAGAGCATTTAACAGCTTCTCTGCACATACTTTCTCTTCTTCTCTTTCTCCACCTAGCAAGAGTCTCCACCCAGAGGTGCAGCCCAGCTCCCCTCTGCCCCTCTCTGGCCCCCAGGTGACCCTGCATGCTAGTTGCCTGCATCAGAAGCTGCTCACACAGAGGGAAGAACTGTGCAGAAAACTGCTTTGGTCCTTAGGCCTTTAGCCCCTATTGACAAGGTCGTATGTTTAAAATTCCACAAGATCTGTTTACTGTGAAATTGCATCCAGCGAAATTCCTCCTTGAGGGAAGGGATTTCAAAATCTTGCCAAAAGGGCTTGCAGTGCAAATAGAATGTACTTCAAATAAATACAAGTAAGAAAATCAATGTACTGATGCAGAATCTGGCCAAGTGGGATACTTTTGACCTGGTCTCCCCCGATAATTCTGTGTGTGTCTTACTCTCTGGTCTTCTATCACACTCTTTCTTCTCCTTCTCATTCTACTGTTCTTCCTCTGCTTCCTCGTCCTTCACACAGCACTTCTCCCAGACAAGCTCTGAAGCTAACATCGCTTTACTCTTAATTATGACTCACATTTGAACCACATTCATTCCTTCCTTTCCTTTTTTAGCTGCTGAGCTCAGAACTCAGACGAGATTAATACAGTCTTTCTTGGAATACGTACCTTTCTCCTTATTCCCAGGTGTTCGTCTAACTCTTCATTCCTCTCTTAAAACTATCCACACACAGTCCGTCACTCGACTCTTCTTTGGGAAGGACTGAACCTTTAGCAGGTGCCTCTTAACAGTGTTCCGTACAAAAGAGAGCTAGTGGTTGTGTTATCGTGAACAGGGCTGTGGACTTTGCACAACCAATGCGTGTGTCACGGGGGGAGGGGGAATCCCTGACACTAGACCTGAGTTTCCTTGCCCAGTAGATAAAAATCCAAACTGAAGGGAAAAAACAAGTCTTTGTCTCTCTCTTTTCTCCCTTCTCCTTGTCTTACTACCTTCCTTTTGCACTGAGGAAAAGCTAGAAGATACTTGTCCTGTCCACTGGCACCATTTGAACACAGGAACACAAATGCCTAGAAGCTATCAGGCCACCAGACCCATGAACGCACTGGCATCTGCATCCACTACATCCCACTAGGAAAGAGGGGGTGTCCCTGGGCTCTGCTCTGGCCCAGCCCTTTCTTCTGCTCAGGGACCCAGCCAGATCAGAGGACTGCCCTTCTCCTAGATCGTACGCCTTTCCCTCTTGACTCTTAACTTGTTCGTGTCTCAGCCTTCCACAAAACAGCTTTTAATACCACATTCCACGTAGCCACCATCCTCTCTCTTTCTCAATATAAGCAAAGTTCTTGAAAGCTTGTCCACACTCGCCTCCTGTTCACTCTTCCTCACCTCCCTAAAGCTGTTTTCACTAAGGACTCACCACCTCCTTATTGCCAAAGCCAGGAGGCACTTTGCAGTCCTTATCTTCCTTGATTTGTTGGTGGTATGCAACACCAATGGCCACTTGCTCCATGATGAAATGCTTTTCTTTGGCATTTCATTGTCTCCTCTGAAGATTCCTCCTCTTGTCCTCATTCCTCAAAAGCTGGCTTCTCTCCAGCCCTGCTTTGTTTCTCTTGGTGGTTCCCCTGGTTACCTCACTCCCATCCATGCGTGTTACAACCAATATCAATGCTTTGTCTTTCAAACAGATCTCTTTAGGATGTCACACCCATTTGTCCACCTGCCTAGGAATCACTCTTGGTTCTCTTGCCAGTATTGCAAGCACTAAACTCACTTTCTCAAAACCCACCCTGTCTCCTCCAGCCATCTCTTCCTCGATTTCCTGTTACACTCCGTGTACTTTGTTGCCTAAGCCAAAAGTCTGGACCTCATCCTTTTGACCCTCTACCGTAAACCATCCATCAGCAAGTCAGGCCAGTTGTATGCTATACACATATACCTGTATGCTATACAGGCCAGTCAACCCCCACCTAAATAGCTCTAGAATCTACTCACTATCCAATCCAGGCCTCTGCCCTCTCTCACCTGGACTACTACAGCAACAGTCTAATGCCAACCCCCTAATATTTTTGATCCTTTCTAGTTCTTTCTCCATTCTATGAGCATGGTGGTCTTTTTACAATGCAAATTCACTCTCCTACCTAAGATTTTAAGCTACACCCCAGTGCCCACATAAAGACTGAACTTCTTACAAGGTCCTTGCTGCTACCTGGCCTTGACCCCTGCTGCCATTGCAGCTGTCTTTCTACTTGCATAAATGCTGTGCCACCCATTCCAGACCCTGCCACTTGATATGCACTCTGCCTGGAATATATTTACAACCGCATACCATTCACCTGGAGTTCTAGTTCTTTCTCTGCTGGTGGCATCCAGACTGACTGCCTTTTCTGAGGTCCCTTATTTAAATCCAACAAACTTTGGAAACCTACTAAATGAACCATCCAAATGCCAGCTTCAAGTTATGGGGAGGATCTTGGGGTTCAGAGGGTCAATGTCATTAAAAAAATGTATATATCCAAGGGCATTTGATCCAGAAAATAGCACACATGGTCAGGCTGTGTTACAAATACATCTATTTGTAACGTTAAAGGAAATCAGACACAGAGTACTTTTTCAACTTTAAATATTATTGTTATTTCTTCCACATTCCATGCTCATTTATTCCTCCAAAATAAAATAATGGAATCAACAACTTCAAATCCTGATGTTTTTCTCATCCATCTTTTTTACATGGAACAAAAAATGAGATGGAATTAGATAAGCCAGAGAAATAAACAAAATTGAATGGAAAATACACATAGAATTACTCATTCTAGCATGATGTAATAGAAAAAAGCATTGAGCTGGCAGTCAAGAGACCTAAGTTCTATTTCTGATGAATACATGAATTTTCTTTGTAATCCTGGGTAAGTGTTTTAATCTCTCTGGACCTCAGTTTTATCATCTACTTGATGAGAGCATTGAATCTCCGAAGTCCCTCTAATGGTCTATGCGAAGCAGATACTGCTACAGGGCTTAACACGATCTGATTTGAGAGACAGTATAGAACAGAGGTGCCATAAACGAATCTTACACCAATAAGTAAAAAAAGGAAAGTGTTTTGAATATTTGAATAATATTTCATTGAAATATTATTGACATACATCACTGTATAAATTTAAAGTGTATGGCATAATAGTTTGACACAAATGTGAAATGATTATCATAATGCATTTAGCATCTGTCATGTCCTATAGATACAATAAAAAGGAAAAAAAGAAAAACATTTCTTCCTTGTAATGAGAATGCTTAGAATTGACCTTCCTAACAACTTCTCTGTATGTTATACAGCAGCGTTAGCTATCATCATGCTGTACATTCTATCCCTAGAACTTAATGTATCTGGTAACTGGAAGTTGGTACCTTTGGACCACCTAACTGGAAAGATTTAATCACGTAGCATATCTTAACAATGACCCGGAAGTAGCACTTCTAAATGAAACCAAAGTTACAGTCTTGTCTTAGGGCAAATTAACGGAAAGAGTGAAAAATTACTGCAATAATTCCGTTATAAACTTCAGTTCTAATACTTGTGTGTACTTTTTAGCTCTTGAAATTTGTTCCCGAAAAAAGTGACATTGACCTGTTGGAGGAACATAAACATGAACTGGATCGCATGGCCAAGGCTGACAGGTTCCTTTTTGAGATGAGCCGGTGAGTTTGGAAATGCATAAAATGTGAACATGCCCTCTACCTTTCTAAGGAAGTTAAACTTTCAATCCTGGTTGAATTATTTGGGCCAATAACCTGGCTTAACTTGAAGCCTTTTTAAATTGCAAAATCTTCTGAAGCCTGAGTTGTGTGGAATTTGTTTTATTCATGTGAGTTCTTGCCCATGGGCGAACCAGGGTTAGGGCTTCTTCACAATTACCTCTATTTCTGGACCTAAACAGGTCATAACTTTTCCTGGTTCCTGTCGGGGTCATTCTCCTTACCACTTTGACTTCTTGGAATCGTATCTCACTCCTCTCTGTACCTCAGCATCTCAAAAAATAGACTCAGCAAGGTCGACCTAGAGCCCACATTACTGAACTGCTAGGGTCTGCATGTCAAATCCTGACCCATGCAGACATCTCTAATCAATCATGGCATACTTCCCGTGAAGCCTTGGCAAGCATTTTCAACCCCTCTCCAGAAAGCCCAGAGGCAGCCACTGCTTCATAATTTTGTTTGGCATGTGAGCTGAGTCTCTTTGCCATCCCCGGCCTGGAAATTTGATTCTGCATTAGACAAGGACCAGTGGTCCTGAGACTCTCAGTCACCCCCAGGGCAGCACTCTTTCCCTGAATATCAAAGGCCTACAAGTGTAGCTCAGGTGAACGTATCTCTCGCTGTACGTTTCTACCATATCCAGAATTATTTTGTTGTTTGTCCATCCCAACTTGTCATTTTGTATATATACTACTGTAGGACAAAGGATGGTTTTGGAATTTTGACAAGTGGGCCTAGCAATCCTGTGTATCAATAAGTAGATGGTCACTTGCGTAGCTGCCATTTTGTCATTGTCTAGCTCTGTGCATGCATCGTCCCACTTGATCCTCTCATCTGCCCTGCCAAGAGGGCTGGTAAGTAGGGAGATATTCTCTTCCATGTAATGGAGGAGTTAAGTTACCTGCCAAAGGTCACCTAATAAGAGGAGAACCTGGACTGCAAACCCAGGTCTGCCTGATTATATGGTATCATTTTGGAGGAGGGGCTACTGAACTGAAGTTTCCACTAGAGAGCAGGTAAGGCAGTGGTTTGGTTTCAGAAGACCTGGGCAAGAATGCTCTGCCCTCGCCCCTCAGCAGCAGCAACCTATCTTACTGATGACCAGGCCGCTTTGCACCCTCTTATCTTTGGTCACCAGTTGCCATCTTGAAGGCACAGCCTACCAGCCCTGAGGGGAGCAGATAGGGAGCTAACTGTAAAGAAAGAGGAAGGTTTGGGGACATGAGTGGGGAGAAGATGAAGAGAGAATGCCGGAGACAAGTTTTACTCCACAGCTTTGCCAAAGGCAAACTTTGTGGAAAGTTAAGTATAGGAGAGACATAGGAAACAGCCCCTTACGTGCAGCAGAATGGGGAGGTTTTGCATTCTCATTCCTTTTTATCTCTTCTGTCTTCACAAGAGCTGCTGGGACTCTGAGGAAAGGGAGGTGGCAACTCTCCTTTTCTTTTAGCAGTTGCCTGACCTGGTTAGAGCTAAGGACCCTGCTGCCATTGCCCAAATACCTCCTGTTGGTCAGAGGGAAATGGGCTCTCCAGGCGAAGTGACCTCATTTCCTGTCCAGCAGGGGAATTGTGCAGGCTTGTGTGTGTGTGTGTGTGTGTGTGTGTGTGTGTGAGAGAGTGTGAGTGTTGGGGGGGTGGTGCTCTAAGGCACCTCCACCTCCGTATCCATTAAGTGAACATAGATAATATATTAAGTAGATGTTCATTAGTCCATGCTTGCTCTTACAGCATCAATCATTACCAGCAAAGACTGCAATCGCTGTACTTCAAAAAGAAGTTTGCAGAGCGTGTGGCAGAAGTGAAACCTAAAGTAGAAGGTAAAGTCAGGCCTCCAGATTGAAAGTGATGTTCATCTTAAGTGCCCATTTACAACTGCAACCCAAGTGCAGGTAGTAAACAGCATCCCTTGGGTGATTTTTTTTTTTTTTTTTTTGCTTAAAATCTTTTGAAATCGTGATAAGTAATTACTTAATGTCTGCCCTTGGCCCTGTGGCCCAGCCTGGGTTCTGGAGCCCACAGCACATCTCCTGAGCTCCTCTGTAGAATCAGGCTTTTAACATCCTGGATGTTGGTGAGAACGTATCTGACCGCTACTAGCATTAAACCTGTAGCCAGCTTTATTGCAATGGTGCCTTACTAGATATTTCTAAGGGAAGATTTGAGCCTATTAAATTTTTAAGTGTTTGAAAAAAGGGGCATCTGAAGAACACAGCCACAGAATGCAGGCTGGACTCAGGACCCTGCTCAAGTCCCAGTCCCTGAGGACACCTGCAAGCTATAACATGAAACACATTTGGCCAGTTTTTCTGTCAATAGAATTGATCAGTTATCCTCTCAGTCTTACTCATACCAGGCAAGAAAGTGTTTGCAGAGGAATGTGGGAAATGCAATCACTGTCTCATATATCCCTGCTTACAGTTGATGAGCCAGTCAAGAAAAGGACTAAGAAAGGATAGGCATGTGCGGCTGTGGGTCTCTTGAGCAACGTGAGCTGGCTCTCCCTGTCCCCTTGCTCTTTGCTTCTAGGTTAGGTGTTTTGTAAATGCTCCCTGGTAGTCTAGTGACCCAGGCTTACATCGTCCGTGTCTGCTCCCAGGTGTGTGGATTTAGGCTGGGTGTCCCTGGAAAGTCCTGGTGGTAGTAGTTGTGTTTATGTGTGCTTTGTTTTGAAGCAATTCGTTCTGGCTCAGAAGAGGTGTTTAGGAGCAACGCCCTGAAGCAGTTGCTAGAAGTGGTTTTGGCATTTGGAAATTACATGAATAAAGGCCAAAGAGGCAATGCGTATGGATTCAAGATATCCAGCCTAAACAAGATTGCTGACACAAAATCTAGTATTGACAAGTAAGTATGGTACCTTCCAACACTTGGAGGATCCAGGAGCTTAGGTCAGGACCCCTCTGGGCCTCCTGGGCCTCCCTGATCCTGCAGCCTCAGGTTTGCTGGTCTCCTGCTCATGCTCTTTCCTTCTCTCCAAGAGAGAAGTGACCTCTCTTCTCTCACAGTTATAAATATCCCTAAATTCCCATTGGGCCAATGATCCTTCATCCATTTTCAGTCCCCAGGGATATCAGCTAGTCTAAGTTTTGGGGTTTTCTTGGGTAAACTTTTTGTTATAGTATAATACACTAAGGACAAGTCCACCGGTCTTAAATTTCACAAATTGGACACCTCTGTATAACTAGTCCCCAGAACAAGAAACAGAATGTGACCCACATGCTGCTGGTCTCCTCATGACCTCTCCCAGTCACAACCCCTCCACAGAGAACTGTGTTCTAGGGGAAAAGAGAAAACTGACAGCCGATGATGGGAAGCTTGTTGGGCTTTTAGGGTATGTCTTCCGTTATACATTGACGCTAGCGGCTATAAAAACTGATGGGGTCTAAGTGCATTTTGGCTGTTGGTATTAAGCCTCTGCTCCCAAGACTCCTCAGAATGCTTCCTAGAAAGTGTAAAAGTGAACAGATTCTTGTTAGAAACACTGAGAGGTGGAAATGCTCTGGTGTCATTAACAGGATCATTAGGCATAGTAACCCCAGTTTCCCTGAGAGCCCTGTTTCTCTAAGGTTCTTACTGACTTCAAAGCAACTTGCCCAATTGTCTCTAAGGGAAACTTCTCTGCATCCAAATTCGTTTTAAAAATAGGCTGTTCATCGTAATTATTCCTAACTAGCAAGGGCTTTTTACTCTATATTTTCTATCAGGTTAGTGATGCATAGCATTATGGCAACCCTGAATCCATCCTATAAAGAAATAAGCAGGGTGGGGGAGCCTGGGTGGCTCAGTCGGTTAAACATCTGTCTCTTGGTTTTGGGTCAGGTCATGATCTCATGGTTCTCGAGTTTGGCCCCGCTTCAGGCCCTGTGATGGCAGCACGAAGCCTGCTTTGGGGATTCCTTCTTCTCTCTGTGCCCACCCCCCCCCCACCCCCTCCACTCACACTTGCTCTCTTTCAAATAAATAAACTTTAAAAAAAGAAATAAGCAGTGAGTGTGTTAAGTTGTAGGGCTAAACCTTATTTTTTGCATCATGTAGAGATAGATTAACAAAGGGCAGCTGTTCTATCACCACCTTATTTTTAATGTGAGCACTTGATCCTTCCAGACCACTTTCATATTTGATTGTGTGAAGTGCACAGGCCAAGTGCTACATTGCCTACTGTCAGATAAAGAAACTGAGGCAATGTCAAGTGGCTCATTTAGTCTGCCTAAGATCACAAGCAAGGTATTTGGTTTCACAGGTATTTGACACCTGTCCTATTGTCCCCACCTCTACTCTAAGAACAGATGGATCTTATTTGTAGGTTGTAGTAGGTAACTGCAACATCTCACCTGCATATAAGCAGCAGTCACCTTTTTTCTTTTCTTTTTTTTTTTTTTTTATTTTTTTATTTTAGAGAGTCCATGCAAGCAGTGGGGTGGTGAGGGGAAGAGAGGGAGAGGGAGGAAGGGAGGGAGCAAATCATAAGCAGGCTCAGTGCAAAGCCCAGCATGGGGCTCGATCCCACAACCCTTGGGATCATGACCTGAACCAAACTGTAGAATCGGATGCTTCACTGACTGAGCCACCCAGGCACCCGAGAGCAGTCACCTTTTTTGAGGAAGGGTGTTCTCTTCAACTGGGCTTGTAAGTTGGAGAGGAAAGAGACCTTTACTACCATTTAGGTCTCCTCTCTCTCTCTCCCCCCCACCCTCCCCTAATACCTTCTGCCATTACCTATCAGCCATTACTGATAACCTGGCACTTACTATGTGATTATCTCCTTATTGAAGTTACTACAGAATTTATCTAATACACAAGCCTTTTCAAAACAATAAATTAAAAATATTTCTGTTCTTTTTTTCCCTCTTCTTCCTGTGAATATTTGGTCCCTGGAAATAGTACCAGTGTTTTCTAAACCCTTAGTGCCTAAGCACAGTGCCTTGTTTATAAGCAGTCACTCATTAAATGTCAGTTGAATCTTATCAAACTGCACAAGGGTGGGACATTGCGCATGAGGGACACATTGACTCTGCATTAAAGGCTTGTTTCCAGTTACACCAGTGAAAAATCAAATGTGTGGCTGTTGAGTTGTTTTCATTCTTTAAGAACTTACATTCAGTCGAATTAGGTGTTACTTGGATAGCACACAAATGTGAGTGCTCTGATCTAGGCTGAAGTCTTTCTACATGAAGAAAAGTATATATGGTTAGTTAAGTTCCCTCCGAATCACAAAGCATCTCTGTGAAACAGTGAAGAGAAATGGCTCCGCTCTGTCTTGTGACAGTCGCTGGGATTTTACTTCCTCACACAGCAGGGACATGGGCTGATGCTCAGCTTCTGGGAGCAGCAGAATTGAAGTGGAAGGCTAACAGCTCAGTGTCTGCAAAGGAAATGGCCAGAATATTAGCCACCGATTTACTTGGCTGAGCTATTGTTTTCTAATTATTTCTTGAGAGCAAGAAAAATAGAAAAAAATTTTTTTTCACGTGTGGGTCAGTTGACTCGGAGGAATGGGATTGCCTTGGCGCCTATGAAGATGCAAGGATAACCAGAAGTGGAAAGCATTTCGTTGTTGTTGGAAAGGAGATGGTTTGACAACTCTGCTTCATGGTAGTTGGGGGTGGATGGGACTGTTGGGATGTAGCATCGTGAGTTAACAAATTGCCTACAAATTACGGACATGTTTTTAAAGAATTACATTTGTGTCCTCCTGATTATGGTAACTTTCAGTAGACTAGTGGTTCTTGATCCTGGCTCTTAGAATTACCAGGGGTTTTTTAAAAATACCCATGCCTGGCCCCACCTCATTCCAGTGAAATGAATCTCAGGTTGGCCCAGGCATCCAGGGCCCAGGTGACTGTAATGTGCATTGGAGTCAGGGACAACAGGACCAGACTGCTACAGCTTTGCCTAACAGACAGTGTTATCAGACATCCACTTTTTCAACCCAGGTCAGTCAGAGTTCAGTGCTGTCACCACCAAAGAGGGAGCTGGGTTGTACAGTTAGGAGCTCAAGTGTTGCTAAAATTAGGAAATGGATTTTTGGCTGCAAAGATGTCATAGCCATGATGGCACAGTCCTGGTCCACTTCCAGGACCAGCCCTAAAGCAGGAGGCCTTCTAACTTCCTGAATGTCCTTTGCTGCAACAGCAAAACAATCGAGTCAGAAGGGAAAAAAGCTAACAAAATGAGGCAGAGGATTGGGGGTGGGGGGGCAGAGGGAGGGAGTTATCGAAGAATTGAAAAAGCTTAAATGAGAATTATCAATAAATTCTAATCAGTGAGTTGCTGCTCTGTACTTTGAGATTTGAAAAATAGCTATCCTTTTCAGTGAATTAAACATCCCTCCGTCCCCACCCCGGCTGGCCCCATCCCGTTGTCATGAACCTCAGGCACACCTTGTCTTTGGGAGGATGCGCTGTGAAGCTATGTCCCCACTGGCAGTGGTTCCAATTCATTTCTGTCATCCAGATTTTGAAGGATGTTTCTTATGAGCCAAAGTAGTAATTCTTATCCCCTCCCCTTTTAGAAGAGATATGCTTCCTTTCATCGTAAGTTATGTAAATCCTATGTAGGCCCTCCCCTTATCCCCTTCTCTTGAGAATCCCTGCCTTAAAGGAATCTCCAAATTTTAAAATGAATGCAGGAGTATAGCATTCTTGCAGGTTCAGCCACTTGGATATGCAAATCATATGCAGATATTAACCATGTTTAATACTTTTTCCTCCTTTATTGTAGGAATATTACACTTCTGCACTATCTCATAACCATTGTGGAAAATAAATACCCCAAGGTCCTCAATCTAAATGAAGAACTGCGGGACATTCCTCAGGCAGCGAAAGTAAAGTAAGTATTTCCCGTGAATTGTTTTAGTCTTTTATTTTTTTTTTTTTAATTTTTTTTCAACGTTTTTTATTTATTTTTGGGACAGAGAGAGACAGAGCATGAACGGGGAAGGGGCAGAGAGAGAGGGAGACACAGAATCGGAAACAGGCTCCAGGCTCTGAGCCATCAGCCCAGAGCCCGACGCGGGGCTCGAACTCACGGACCGCGAGATCGTGACCTGGCTGAAGTCGGACGCTTAACCGACTGCGCCACCCAGGCGCCCCTGTTTTAGTCTTTTAAATCACTTGGACTGTGCTTTAGCTATTGAGGTGGTCAGCTGGCATCGCGTGAAGAGGGTCCTTCTGTTTGCTTTCCCCTGAGTAGCATATGAAGTAAAGTTTGAATCCTATCCAAGTCACTGAAATATGTTACATACTTTTGAATATATATGTATATATATGAATACACACACACACACACACACACATACATGTTTTGTATTTCCTTTGGATTACTCCTGCATGCAATTTTTAACTGCCAGGAAACCCAATTTTCTGGGTTATTAAGAGTATAAGAAAGGAATACAGTTTCACTAGTACTTTTAAAAGGTAGTTCTGTTACATACAGGTAGGAGCACTCTTAGTTAATGAGGAAACATGGCTAAGCAAATAGAACGTAAATGTCAGGGCGTTGCTAGTAATTTTCACATGTGCACACACTCTCAGAAACCAAGGCAGCCTTTTAATGGAAAGCAGTCTTTATGCAAATGAAGAAACTAAAAATAAAATGGAAAGTTGCCAAACTTTCACCACAGACTTCACACCACTTTTCAGAGACTGAAGAGCAGGCAGTTTTCCTTGTTGTTCTTCCCTCCTGCTTTTGGCCCTTTAAAAAAAATAATAAATGCACAGCGGAGCCTGGGTGCCTCAGGCGGTTAAGCATCCAACTCTTGACTCCGGCTCATGTCATGATCTCGCAGTTCATGGGTTTGAGCCCCACGTCAGGCTCTATGCTGAGAGCACAGAGCCTGCTTCGGATTCTTTCTCTCCCTCTCTCTCTCTGCCCCTCCCCTGCTTGTGCTCTCTCTCTCTCTGTCTCTGTCTCTCTCTCTCTCAAAATAAATGTACTTAAAAGAATTAAAAAAATAGGCGTGCCTGGTGGCTCAGTCGGTTAAGTGTGCGACTTCAACTCAGGTCATGATCTTGCGGTTTATGGGTTTGATCCCTGCATGGTGCTCTGTGCTGACAACTCAGAGCCTGGAGCTGCTTTGGATTTTGTGCCTCCCTCTCTCTCTGCCCCCTCCTGTTTGTGCTCGCTCTCTCTCTCTCTCTCTCTCAAAAATAAAAAATTTTAATAAATAAAAAGAATTAAAAAATAAATGTGTGTGTGTATTTAAAACTATCTTTTGCAGTGAATTTGAAAAGTATGATGAAGAGTAGGTTAATTTTTTTCCCTCTTTTTGTAGAAAATGTGAGACATGAAATTAAAATGTTAAAGTAAATGACATTTTGGTGAATTTGCTTACATCTGAATTATCCACAAGATTTATGTTATAATCTCTGAGGTCTAAAAGCCTTCAGATAGAAAGTTTTATGGGAGAAATCCAGGAAACTTTCTCTATAAAAAGAGACAATGAGATCTAGTTAGTACAACTTGAAGAAATACCATTGTTGATTGAAATTTAAGCCATCACCTTGTAATACATTACCAGAGCTTCAGTGAAAAGCGGTGCCCTAATTATGAAGAATACAATGTGAGCATGATTGTGGATAAGGCGGTTTCTTTTACTTGTTCGAAAGGAGCTATGTATGGCAAAATATTTATTTCTACATGTGATAATTGGCTTAAGTGAGATTTTTCTGAAATTGAAACATGAATTATTTTTGTAGAGATGACAGGCATTTCTGCTCTTTTTAATCTATAAAATGTACCTACTGGCTGTGGAAAACAAAAACCATAAGTCCATGTTTAAATTGCTTAAGTTTAAAATTTTATCTTTCTGTGAGATCTGAGCATGGAAGGGAATTTTGAACATTGAAAATACACTAGGGTGGACTTCCAAGCATGAGATATGTGAACGCATTATTTATTTAATACATACAAGTCGCATGTTGATTACTAAAATGTTGCTATTTACAACAGCATGACTGAGCTGGACAAAGAAATAAGTACCTTGAGAAGTGGCTTGAAAGCAGTAGAGATGGTAAGTACGTGTTTCTTCTGATTCCCAGTCTCGCCGCTGCTGCGAGTGCTGATGATATCCGGCATGGTGGTCTGCCCAGCATAAACATTTACTGATTAAAAAAAAAAAAAAAGAAAAAGGAAAACAGCAGCAACGAGGAAGCAAAGGCTGGCTGTGTTACCCTGGCGACTCAGCTGCAGGATGTCCTGGGGTGTCACCGGAGCAGGAACTGGGAAGCTAGGGTCACACTGATTTCCCACCTGTAAGGCAGGACTCATTAAAGTGGGTTTGGCCAGATAAGGATACCCTCAGTGTCCATGTTCTGTTAACAAGTGATGTTCAGAAAATGGGTGATCGGCATTGAGGAGGGCTCTTGTTGGGATGAGCACTGGGTGTTTGTATGTAAGCAATGAATCGTGGGAATCTACCCCCAAAACCAAGAGCACACTGTATACACTATGTGTTAGCCAACTTGACAATAAATTGTATTTAAAAAAAAAAAAAAAAAGAATAAGGAAAGGAGGCATCAAAGGGAAGGAAGAAGTTAATGGTCATTTTTGCAGACGACCACACTATAACAAAAGCCTTGAAAATGTGTCACTATAAAACCAGTGATTGTATTTATAAGGATTGTTCTGAGCATGTGATTAAAGACATGCCAAAGGAAAACAAAACAAAAACAAGTGAGTGATGTTCACTCTCAGTAGAGCAGTGGAACACCTCTCTTGTGTTGAAGTTGGTCCTTTGGGGAGTATTTATTGAGTAGACACTTGGGCGTACGGTCCGTTTTCTAGACGAGGGGTCACGATGATTCCAACTCCTTCCCTCCGGGTGTTGAAATGGCCAAGAGCAGTGAGTCCAGCTAACGTTCACAGTTACTCAGCCTGGCCACGTCCAGATAAGCACAGTGGTTACAAAAATGCCTTGAGGAAGAAGGGTGGACTTGGCTAGTCCAAAACTTGTGGAATGACTGGCATTGATTAGAGGAAGGTTCTCTTCTGGAAGAGATGAACTTCGAGCTGTGGCTTAGAAGGAGGGTGGCGTAGGAGCACCTGAGTGGTTCATTCGGTTATGCTGCCAGTTCTTGATTTCTGCTCAGGTCATGATATCACAGCTCATGAGTTCAAGCCCCGCACTGGGCTTTGTGCTGACGGCACAGAGACTGCTTGGGATTCTGTCTGTCTCTCTCTCTCTCTCTCTCTCTCTCTCTCTCTCTCTCTCTCTATTTCTCCCTCAAAATAAATTTAAAATTTTTTTTTTAATTCTAAAAAAAGAAGGAGGGTGGGGTAAACTTAGTTACATAGGAGTGAGGTTGTCCCTGGTGTGCAAAACTATCTGGGCCGGGCCTCCGTGGAAGGAAAGCAGGCCACCCTGCTGGAGGCAGAGGAGTGGGTGCACTTAAACATGACTGTGTGGGCAGAGTGCCACATGGATACCACACAGCACTGCCACCAGTGAGGAGGGGCCGGTCAGGACAAGAAACCTGCTTAGGAGAGTGATCCTCACTCCGGTCTGGTACTTGACGAAGGAGACTGTTCTTCAGGCAGCTTAGCAAGGTGGCCCCTCTCTTAAGTATCTTTCAGGTCATGTATCAGTAATGCCATGAAGAACCTCCTTCCTTTCTCCTGCCGTAGAAAGCAGTTGACTTCATGGAAGACATGGCTCTAATAAAAGTTAAAGTCACAATATCTAATCTTTTCCTGTTTTTTATAAATCGGAAGCTTGTAAGGCTCCCCCCCCCCCCGCCCCCTTTGTGGCCGGGCATGGGGAGGATGCTCTTTCAAAAGGAAAGGGAGATGAACTGAATGAAATATTTCTGCCAACCCCAATGGGTCAAGACACTGAGTGAGCGAGTAGGATGGTCCTCCTCAGATTTCAGAGGCCCAACGGGCCCCAGTGGAAGTCTTTCTTGAGACTAGTGTGGCAGTGATGACACAGCCCTAAAGCCTCATAATGGATCCTCTGACCTTTGCATCTAAACTAGCTCAGAGCAAGACATGGAGGGGGGAGGAGGGTCCAAGGAGGTTTTGTGTTTGGGGTTTTGCTTGAATCTGTCCAGCACCTGGGTCATGTACACTAACACACTTCTTGTAAGAAAGGGGCTACAGGAGCCTTCCCCTCTCCCTGGCAGCATGCATGTCAAGATGTAGCCCTGGAAGGAAATATTGGGAGGCAGACCTTGGCCAATGTAAATATTCATGTATCCCGGTCGTGCTTTACACAATTCAGTTATACTGCTTGAAGATAGCAAAGTTGGAATTCATCTTCTGCCTTTGAATGAAAGAGAATAATACGTTTATGAAATACTTTCAAATTACTCTCCTATCTCTGTACCTCACATACATACATGTTCACTTGCAAGGCCAAAGTCCTAGAATCGTGGCAGTTTATTCCAATCAAAGCAAGTTCCATACTTTCTAAATTTCTACTTGTCATTTCCTTGATTCTCACGGTGATCTGGATATTGCTTGCCTTTTGTCAAAGAAGGAACTGAGGCCAAGGCCACTTGTCATGGACAAGAACCAAATCCGTGGTGGAGCTGAATCAGAACCATAGCCTGTGACTTCTACGCTCCTGCTTGGTAGTACCTCCACCAAAGCACGTATAGAAATAGAACCAGATTAAGTCATTGGTAGGCAAGATGGTTGTTACTGAGACTGTGCAGTCAGACAGATCTGACCTCAAATTCTGGCTCTATCGTGTTTCAGCTACTAGACTCTTGAGCCAGGAATTTAATCCCTCTACACCTGAATTTATGTGTCTATACAATTAGAATAATAATCCCTCACTCATAGAGGGTGAGATAAAGAAAGTGCTTCTGGCAATGGTTGAAATTAATTACGAAAATTAGATTTGAATAATCTGTATGTTCATCACCCTGGTAATGGAGAATATGGATAACTAACAAGGCACTAATACTCCTGCCTGCCTGTTCACAAAAACAAAATGGTGTAGACAAAAATAAAAATGGGAGACAATTATGGTGCCAAACATGACAGTTGAAATCCCACTGACCCAGATATCGTCATGTAGCCTCAATATAGCCAGAGGGAAAGAAGGAAAAACCAAGCAACCAGAATTCTGAGCACAGAGTATCAACAGATTAAATTCTCTTGCTTTCAGTCACACACCCTTTGAATCTAATTTGCTGTTTATTTAACTTCTATTAATTGTATCCGAGTGCTAATCTGCTTATATCCTAAAGCTGGGATACGAAATCTCAGGGGCACCTGGGTGGCTCAGTCAATTGAGCATCTAACTCTTGGTGTCTCAGCTCAGGTCATGATCCCAGGGTCATGGGATTGAGTGTTGCATCGGGCTTCACACTAAGTGTGGAGTCTGCTTAAGATTCTCCCTCCCTTCCCCCCCCTTTCTCCCCCCTCTGCTCCCCCTCCGCTTGTGCTCTCTAAAATTAAAAAAAAAAAAAATCACACCAATAAAGGGCTCCAACCATTGGTACATTGCAGTTTGCAAATATGTGCGCGCACAGGGGCACGGCTTGGGCATGGCTCAGGCATTGTGGGCAGAGGGGCAGAGGGAGCTAGGGCATCACAAAATGGTTTGGAGTAGGTTCTGATGTGTTCACCATTCAGACTTGCTACATTTGAGGCATATGGAAAATTAGACAAGGTGTGTGTGCATCTGCATTTGAAGCCCACCTTGACATTATCCATTTCCTGTGTCGAAGGAGCTGGAATATCAAAAGTCTCAGCCCCCACAACCCGGAGATAAGTTTGTGTCTGTTGTCAGCCAGTTCATCACAGTAGCCAGCTTCAGCTTCTCTGATGTCGAAGACCTTCTAGCAGAAGCTAAAGACCTGGTAAGTTTCCCGTTGCATACCAAGTGTTGTTTGACAGGGCTGACACTTCAGGTATTCTGTATTTTCATATCTAGGACTGTGATCAATTGGAACACACCCCTTTTTGTCTAACCTATGTTGCCCTTAGGTTAGCAAGACCTCGAAGTATCTGGATGGTATAAAACCAGAAAATATTCTGCAGTTTTCTCTTGGTTGATATTGGTTGTCTTGTTGTTGATATTGACTTGTTTCTGGAAACCAGAAAAGAGTCGATTATGAAAACCAGAGGCCAGATAAAGTGTGAGATCAGGTGTGACCAAGGCCAAGTGTCTTAGTAGCTGTAAGTTATATGCTCTCCTGAGATAGAGACTTCAGGCAGGATATTCCTTCTTGAACTCTCCAGCAGACCTTATTAAAGGAGATACACTTTAATTCACAGCCTCATTACAAGAGGCATATGTTTTAATAATACGGTGCTTTTTATGAGTTTTGCTATTTAAAATGCTGTTTGCCTCTAAAAGAAAAGCTTTCGTTGGCTAATAACCAAGCCCTTAACTCCTCGTTATTTCCTCTTCCAAAATACATACCCATTTATATACATGTACACATTGTCTCATTTTTCTCTCACCCCCCCTTTCTCATAGTTAAATAAATCATATCAGGCCCCTATGCCACCCTGTTGAGTTCTTCCTCACTGCTCATCTCTCAGTTGCCATAATACTCTTTTGCTTTAACTTGATCTTTCCTTTGAAACTTGAGTAATGGATGTCATTCCCTGTAGCCACCTGTTTAGTAATAGATATAGATGATTGTTTATGTAAAGTGCACACACAACTGCTTAAAGTTCGGAAGAAGATCGTATTAGGATACGTTAGCTAGTCTCAACAGTAAACCTGACCTCCAACATTATTAAATAAATGGAAAGAGAATATATGTTCAGATGACTGCTGTTAAAAGTCCCATGACTGATGCCAGCAACCTCCACTGTGATAGTCCCCACCCATGTCTTATGTGTGCCTCCTGTACAGGAGGGAAGGGACCCATCCCCGTCCCCCACTCCAAACCAGGCAGTAGAGAATCTACTTCATTAAGGACTCAAGAATTTTTATAAGAATCAACTCTACAGTTAATTTTTGAGGTAAAAACACATGCTTGTGCACAACCTACTTTTAAAAAAATTTTAGTGTGGGAACTTTAGTCTGGGAACATTAGTCTGGGACTAGTTTTCTTCAGATTTTTAAGACTAAAATACACATGACTTCATCATCACTAGAATTCCTAGATAAAAAGATCATTCAGGATGGCTTGAAGTGCATGAACTTGAGTGTTTTAGAAACTCGGTTGTAGGCTGTCTAATGCCATTTTGCTCATACCAGAACTTTTAGAAATTAGCTTATAAAGCCATGAAGGCAGGCTAGAGCTCTGTGCGTGTCATGTGAACAATGTATTTTTCCCTAAAGAACTCTGATGTCTAGTAGATTGTTTCCAAATAAGTAAAGCATTGAGAACAACTCAGTGAAGAGAAAAATGGTAAAAGCACATTTTTATTATACATTTAAAGATGTGAAATAACAATTATAAAATGTCATGTGCACACACATCTATTACTTCATAGTTTTATCTCAGAATAAACGTTCAGGGGGAATTGGAGGAAGGTGATCAAAAAGTACAAGCTTCCAGTGATAAGATCGATGAATATAGGGGTTGTAATGTACAAGGTGATGACTCTAGGGAACAGTGCTGCATGCTCTTCGTGAAAGTTGTTAAGAGAGTAGACACTTCCGTGTGTGTGTATGAGGTGATGGATGTTAACTTATTGTGGTAATCATTCCACAATATATGTAAGTCATGTCGTCATGCCATACACCTTAATTTTATACAGTGCTGCATGTCAATTATATTTCATAAAAACTAGGGAAAAAGAAAATACTGAAAAGGTTTCCTTTAGGGAGATAGTACTAGCAAAATATCAGAAAAAAATATATAATAAAGGCAAGTAATGCAAGAAAAATAAAAGCAATTAGAAATTCATGGGTTGGAGGCAGTGCATAAACACTTCATATGCTAAATGAAAATTAAAGATCTGGAAAATGTTAGGTAGTTGATGAGGCATAGGGATTAGGAATTCATTTGACTCTGAAGCTGTAAACACCATCCTTAGTAGCTCAGGAGTAACAGCATCGGATCCTTACAGGGGGAAGAAAAATTCCAGCAAACAGTATGACTGGCATTGAACATTATTTAGATAGTCATGATACCGCTAAGACTCCTGAAAGCATGCGATCTTGAGTTCCGAAGATAACTGCCAGAAAAAGTAAAACCAGAAGAGTACAACACAGGGAACAATAACGTTTGGTGACAGATGGGGACTGCACTTTTCCTCATGAGCACTGACCACCGTATGCAATTGTTGAACCCTTACATTGTATACCTGAAACTAATATAACACTGTATGTTAAGTGTACTTCACTTTAAAGAACTAAAATAAAATGTTAAATAAACTGACACATTCACCAGTCAAAAAAAAAAAGAAAGAAAGAAAATCAAAGAAAAGAAAACTTGAGGTGTTGAGGTGCTTGGATGGCTCAGTCGGTTAGGCATCCAACTCTTGGTTTCAGCTCAGGCCATGATCTCACAGTTTGAGTTCGAGACCAAGTATCAGTGCAGAGCCCAGTTGAGATTCACTCTCTCTCAAAATCAATAAATAAACATGAAAAAAAAAAAAAAAAAGAACTGAAGAGACTGGTGATACTATTTTGTTACTATATCCATATGTTTGTATTAACTTTTTTAAATTCTCCCTTAATATTTTGCTCTTACGGTGTTTTAAGAGGATTTGTATTGAAAGGGGTTGCAAAACAAAGGATTTGGAATAAAATTGTATTCTCGGTCCTAAAGTAGGGGTTTCATTAATGATCCCATAGTCAGTTGTTTTCTAATTGAGACCCAGGAAATATCACAACACGAGCAGCTACACAACATGATCAGGGAAAGCAGCTAAGAAGGCCTGGATCCCATTTGTTTTTGATATTAACCATATGGCACCAATAAATGATATTAAACTACTTCAAAGAAAAGTTGAAAGTACAAGTTTCCCTACCCCTGCTGAGTTTGCTGTTAGTTTTATGTCTTGAGTGCTCTGCCCTACGATATTTTGCTTTCTTGTTTTTACTACTGTTTGGTTAATAAAAAGTCATAGTAGGTAATCATTGGTGTTAGGCTGAAATGAGGTGGAAATGAATAAATGGTTTCAAAAGTTGAGGAGTATTAATTTTTTTTTACTTTAGACATGAGTGATAGGCTTGTTCAGCAGCCAAAGATAAATACAGGCTCACTAAAATCCAGCAAGTTATATTTGACTCTTCCTGCGCTTCACTCCTTCTAGAGAGAGAGATAGATTTCTATTTGATCACAGAATTCTCTCACAACACTGAACTTCTTAAAACCTCCTTTCTTCCAGTTTACTAAAGCAGTGAAACACTTTGGAGAAGAGGCTGGCAAAATCCAGCCGGATGAGTTCTTTGGCATTTTTGATCAGTTTCTCCAAGCTGTGTCGGAAGCCAAACAAGAGAATGAAAACATGAGAAAGAAAAAGGAGGAAGAGGAACGCCGTGCTCGCATGGAGGCTCAGGTAAGAAAATGTTGAAACTGGCCGTTTCCAGCTCCTGGAAGTTCAGTGCTGCGGCTCCTTGGTTTGTAGACCGTGCTGCGATGTGCCGGCAGGAGGGAGGGCATTTTATGCTTCTGGGAGCTTAAATCGGTGTAAGTTTCTCTTGGGCAACCTGGCAGTGTATATCCGAAGCCTGAGAAAATATATCCACATCCTCTGATCTGGAGTTCCATTTCTTACAAATTATTCTAAAGAAATAATCATAAATTTGCACAAAGAGAATAGTAGTCTTTACAGTAGTTCGACCTGGAAACAACCTAAATGTTTACCAAGCAGGCAGTAGTTTTAAATGCAATAATAGCTACATAATGGAATGTTTATGCAGTCCTTAAAAATCGTATTTTTAAAAAATATTTAATAGGGGCGCCTGGGTGGCTCAGTTGATTAAGCGGCCAACTCTTGGTTTCTGCTCAGGTCATGATCTCACAGTTCATGCGTTCGAGTCCTGCATCGGGCTCTGTGCTGCCAGTGCAGAGCCTGCTTGGGATTCTCTGCCTCCCTGTCTCTCTGTCCTTACCCGGCTCATGCTGTCTCTTTCTCAAAATAAATAAATAAACTTAAAAAAAAATATATTTCATGATACAAAAAAGCTTATAAATGTATTTCTATACGAAATCTTTTTCTTTTTTAATAAGGTAAGTTTTAATAAGGATAAATGATAGTGGTGGGCTATACCCCCAAAAGGTTCACAATGCTTTATCTCTTAACAGTAGGATTAAGAATGATTTTCCCTCATTTGTTTATATGAATTATCCAAGTTTTCTAAAATGCACATGTATAATTTGGCTTTTAATAGTAGTAAATTGTATGGAGCAGGCTCCAGGCACCCACAGGAAATTCAAGCTAAGCCTTTGATGTAAGGAGAGTGGCCTAATGAGCATTTGCTTTAGTGTCTCATAGAAAGCAATATCTGGGGTCTGTTTAATAGTGATAACTTTCTGGTTCCATTATAGAAATATGAATTGCCTCGACTGCTCTTGTTTTAACGAGAATATCATGAGGTTTACCTAGATTCTAGACGATGAGTGTCTAATCACAGAGGAGTGGTCATTTTTCATCATTATTCATTGCTTTCTCAAATGAGACCTCATGTCCCAATTACCCCTGTCTTGTGACGTCCAGGGGGCTTAGCAGCCATAGATGCACATGGGTTGATGTGGCTGAAGCAACGCTATATTTCAGACTTCCTCTCCACCGAAAACAAAGCACAACATTTTGACGCTTCTCTAAGAGGTTGCTTTCTATTTGCAGCTCAAAGAACAGCGTGAAAGGGAACGTAAAATGAGGAAAGCAAAAGAGAATAGTGAAGAAGGTGGAGAGTTCGATGACCTGGTTTCAGCTTTACGCTCAGGAGAAGTGTTTGACAAAGACCTTTCTAAACTGAAACGGAACCGCAAGCGTATTACCAACCAGATGACGGACAGCAGCCGAGAGAGACCCGTCACAAAACTTAATTTCTAATTTTCCTTGGATACTTTTTTAGGAAGCTCATTAGCAGCCCTTTGAAGTGACTAGAACTTTTCATTACACTGCCTTGCAATCCAAACAGTGGCAATTTCTTCCTTCATCTGTGAGTGAATGCGTGAATGTGTGTGTATGTAAATGTATGTGTACATATATATTAAAAAATGTATATAGAAGTCTGAGTGTTGTCTGGAGACCTATATGTATGGTTAAAAACAAAACTCTGTGTTAATGTATGTGCTCAGAAACCCTTTGTGTATGCATTCATATTGAGTATGGCTCATTTTCTTCCCCTGAACACCATGGCTGTTCAGAAGCACAATGCTGTCTCCTGAAAGAGATGACAGAGACATTCCCTAGAGTAAAAAAGAAAAACAAAAGCAAAAAAAAAAAAAAAAAAAAAAAAAAAAAAAAAAAGAAAAAGGCTTGAGAAATATTTTATGGTTTCCAAGCTTGGTATACTTAGAAATTATTTTCACTGGGGAAACTGGTGTTGGAAAAATATAGATTTAAAATGGTTTTTGATAGTTGACGATGTGATGCTGGTGTAGAGCATCAGTAATTAAGAGGAACCAGCTTAGAATTTCTGACATTGGTGTGGGGGTGCAGGCTGTAAATGTTTATTGAGAATATCTCGCACACAATCTGAATTATGTAGAATATCAATCAGACTCTTTTTTAGGAATTTACAACTCGGGCATCAGTTTTGTTTCCTAATTTCATCGCGTTCTCTGCCAAGCGCTCTTGAAGATTTCTTTACATGGCTTTTGAAAAGAACACTATTTATCTACATGCAATTCACGCTCTTGTTAAAAAACAAGATCGCCAGAATGTGCTTGTTGTTCTAACAATGTAGATATATAAACTTTAAAAATAAAATTTCCCACCCAAGACCTAAAAGGAGGAATTCTCTGAAGGGATAAAAAATTATTTAAATTTTTTTATGGGGTGCCTTTTTTTTTTTTCTTTTGTATCTTCTATTTTGTAGGACAAGGGTGCATCTTCTGTCAATATGAGTCTGGACTAAAGGACACTTAGCGAATGCACAAAATGCCAACAACACCAACAGAGATGCCAAGATCTATTTATCTCTAAGTATGTTTGAAATGGTTTGTTGTTTATATGTTGTCATTTTAAATTGTGTGTCAGTAAAGCTACCTGTAAAATTTCAGTCCAAAAGATAAAGCTCTCAGGGAGAAATGAATAAAAACAATGAACATTAGAAAATAAAATATAGATGCTTACCATTAACCTACCAACTCTTAATATCCTTAAATTATATATAAAGAGGACTGTTACTTTTTTGGTTTTTTTGGGTTTTTTTTTTTGTTTTTTTTTTTTTTTTTTTTTTTTGGCTTTGCTTTATTTATTTGTAGTGGGGGAGGGAGGGGCTAAGATTCTCTCTTTTCTTTCTATCAATCCTGTTGTGGTTGGGTTTCCTGTGGAGAGAGTAGTTTGTCCTGTTGCACTAGAACATTATTTACTCACGAAATTGAGTTTTTCAGTCAGTTAACAAATATTTATTAAACACCTACTATGTGCCAGGCTTAGTAGGGCTACAGTGATAAGCAAGACAAAGTCCCTGCCCCCAAGGAGCTCATGTTCTAACGGGGATAAAGGGGTGAATAGAATACCAATAGGCGCTGTACAGGAATCATGCTATTTAAAAATACTTTGTATAAACTTTAATGCTTGGTGCAGATGGCGAGGCCCTGCACTGCGTGAAAGCTGTGAAGTAGTGCTCAACGAGTTGTCAAGAGCAGTGGTTTTACGTTTTGTCCCCCTTCATTGCGAACTTAGAGACTTTCTACACGTTTTATGGAAGTAAATGACTCTAGCACATGAAACAGTCATAAAAACACAGCAGAGGTTGTGTTCCCCAGCCCCTAGTTACCAAGGTCTGCAGATACACCCAGTTAGAGGTGCAGACAGAGATTTGCTCCAAAAGGCTTGGAGAGGAGGAGTGGGATATGATGAGGGATGTGTCTCTTCCTTAACTAAAGTGCCTCTACTTTTCTATTCATAGCAGGAGAAATTTGGTCTGGCTCAATTTTGGAACTGTATTTTGAAAATGGCTTTGTTTTACAGTTTAAGGAATGGACAAGTGGATGAAGTGTCACCTAAAGGAGCAAGTTCGCGTAGCCTGTCCCTCTTGCCCTTGGTAATCATCCTCATTTTGATACGGCCATCCTGGTAGGCCTCCTTTGCCATTTCCATTCTTGGTTTCTTTTCCCAAAAGCTTTGTGCAGGTAATTCCATGTGCCATTGTTGGAAAAAAAAAAAAAAATCTACTTTTTAGATTGGTGCTGGTGTAAGTAGCCACTTTTCTCTCTTGGGTGTGTATTTTAAAGGTTTTTGTTTGTTTTTTTAAATTAATGCCAAAAAGAAAGCATTATAATTTGTAAACTTAATTATATGTCTTGTATCTTATTAGCTTAGTAGTTGGAACCACTTAGTCTTTAGGTGCAAGACTGTTGTTACAGTATCAAGAAAAAAAATGTTGTGTCATGAGATTGTACATTTTTTTTAAAAAAGCAATATGTAATAAAGAGATGAATTCATTGGGTGTATGTATATGCTTTCGATGAGTTATTAGAACATTGCCAAACGTCTTTTTACTTTGCACTATTAAATATTGCAAATTATTTAGTAAGTCAAAAATACATATTTTTAAATTTGTACATCCTGGCTGGACCTAGAAGGGTATAGTTTTCTGCTATGGTAGCATCTGATATGTCCACAGACCTATGCTACCTCTTTCTGTCACTTTTCTATAACCTCTCTGTATGACTCCATAGAGTTATACGGTTGCCCAGTAGGGCTACTAGTGAATAATTCAACTTGGGGTATAAAAAAGAATGTCTAGTCTCTAGAATCAAAGCCTTTTTTATTTTGAAGTGTTTCCTTTTTAAAAATTAATTTATTAGGGGCACCTGGGTGGCTCCCGTCATGATCTCGCAGTTCTTGAGTTCAAACCCCGTGTGGGGCTTGCTGCTGTCCGCACAGAGCCTGCTTCACATCCTGTCCCCCTCTCTCTCTGCCCCTCCACTGCTCATGCTCTCTCTCAAAAAATAAATAAAACATTAAAATATATATAGGATACACGTCAGTATCAGAAGTGTCACCTGTATAGAACAAGGGATGTGTTTCATATCCTCTGAAAATTGGGCTTTTTCTTGGCCACATCACTTGGGCTGCCTGGCCATCCTCAGCCCAATTTGAAGTCAAGCTGAAAACAAATTGTCCTGGTGGTTGATAGAGGACCCGAGCCCTTCTGATCTTTGGAATGGACTCATGATGGTCTAAACATTGCCATCCATCTTGCATTTCTTCTAGTCAATGGATACTGCATGGTATCCAAAGACTACTACTTTTCTCTTATGCTGGCCTTCAGGTGGGAGAGAGCCTTCTGCATGTTAGATATTTTATTGCAAACTACAAACTAATGTACAATTACCAATTTATACATTTGAGGGTGGAGCTACATACAAAACCGTCTAAACCTCAGTTGCTTATGGAGTAGTGCATATGGAAAAAAAGAGGAAACTTTTAGATCACTGTGTTTCCTTTTATGTCTTCAATTTACCCTAAAAAAATAACTTCGGGGTACAATATGTTTCTGTTAAGAGGATGAAGCTATCTGACCCCTCCAAGATTTTGCCCATTTTCTGTAACCTACCGTAGGTTTATGTGAGGCAAAATGATAATCTTTATTAAACCAGTTTAGACAATTATTCAAAGAGTTCTGAAAGAATTTTCTATGAATTTTTTTTTTAATAACATCAACTGTTGCTTACCAAGTAGTAAACCTAAAATAAGAACTACTAAGGCTTGGGGCGCCTGGGTGGCGCAGTCGGTTAAGGTCCGGCTTCAGCCAGGTCACGATCTCGCGGTCCGTGAGTTCGAGCCCCGCGTGGGGCTCTGGGCTGATGGCTCAGAGCCTGGAGCCTGTTTCCGATTCTATGTCTCCCTCTCTCTGCCCCTCCCCTGTTCATGCTCTGTCTCTCTCTGTCCCAAAAATAAATAAACGTTGAAAAAAAATT